AAGTAGACTTGTACTTTATATAAAATCTCAATTGAATATTCAATAAAGATAGAGGCATGGCCTCACCATTAATATTTTAAAAAAAAAAGATTCTATAAAATAAGTAGTAGTTATTATTATAATTATTATAATTATTATTATATTATTTTATATTTCTATTTTCTTATTTTATATAAAGCAGATTTAAAAATATCTTGTAACTTACCAATAAAGTTAAAAAAAAGTTGAATATTAAAAATATCAAAAAATGGTAACATAATAACAATAAATAGTATAATAAATTTAAATTTTCAATTGATGTACCTGTTTGCACTATTTTTTTTCATCATTTTGATAAAAAAGAAAAAACAATAGATAAATTAAAAAGAGAAGAAAACAATGAAAATGTTATTACTAGTAGTAACTAAACTGCTAATATTATGAAAATTTTAATAAAAGAACTAAAAAAAGTAGTAATAATACTAGTATTAAAAATAAAGCCAATTAATTTTTAAATTAGTAATGTAATTTTAAAAAAAATTAAATTAATATTATATTTGTAATAGTATTTTTAATTTAAATAATTATAATATATTACTATACAATTATTGCTTTTAACATAGTAATATAATTATATATATAATAAGAATAATACTATAGTGATAGCATATAAATTTAATTATCTATTGCTTAAAAAATTTCTAATGTAATATTAAAAAAAACTATCAGATTGAATACATATAAATAGATAACAAATCAAATACTATATCAGCAACTAATATAAGTTTGAAATTAAACCAAAAGATTCTTGAAAATTATTCAATTGTATATAATATAGAAAATTAGAATGACTATCAGAAATTTAAAATGTTTATTGAAAAACTGATATGTCAATAATTTAAGTCAAGAATATATTAATAGGCTTTCAAAATTAACCAAATTTCTATAAAATATAGATGCTGATTTAGTAAAATATCAGATACATATACTGGGCTACTATTATAGCTATATCGGGAACCTTTTGGATACTATTGGCATTCTGATTCTTCTTCAATATTCGTTTGTTCGACCTGTTCAAGTAAAGTTAGGCTAATTTGATATAGTATTAATAATAATTATATATATGTATAAACCAAATGTATACTATAAAAACTTATAAAAATCTAATAAACTGTACTAGCAATGTTGCTAAAGGTTTTTTAAAAAAATCAGTATTTTTACAGAAAGGTAATGTAATAAAAAAAATTAAGTTTAATATGCATATTACTAAAGGTAGAATATAATTTATATTAAAACATCATATAAACTATACATATCTAAAAATTATAATTTTTTTCAAAAACTACTATATGAGTGCTGTGAGTGAAAACCCGGAAACCATTTAATGATTTACTATGATCGGTTTCCAGGTTTTCACTCTCACGCACTCATATAAAATCTTACAAACATTTTATATTTAAAAATTTTAGATTTAAACAGTTTTTTTATTTATAATTTGTAATATTATATCTTGTTTATTTAACTCAATATAAATTTTTAAACGGTGTTCACAATAATAAGTTATTTCTCTGTACATTCAAAAATTTGTTCTTTTATTTTTTTTAACTCATAAAAAAATCAATCTTATAAATATATATATATATAAATATGCAATTGATATAATAATCGGTATACAGTATGTAATTTATTTGCAATTGATAACTTTTAGATAATTAATAATATATAAAAATTTAAAGAATATTTAAGGGTTTAAATTTTAGCTACATTGTCGATCAGAAGGGACTGAACTAGACTAATAATCAAATAAAAAGCCGATGAACCATTTTCCCTTGGCAACATTCATACTAAAAGTTATTTCACTCAGACTAAAAGTTATTTACAGTAAATTTTATAAATATTTTTTATTACTAAAAGTTATTTCACTCAGACTAAAAGTTATTTACAGTAAATTTTATAAATATTTTTTATTATTAAACTAATTAAGGTTGAAACTACTGATTAAGATGGGCGGCGCGTAAGTGCCACCCATCGTACTAGTAGAAGTTACGAAGAAAATAATAATAAAATAATAATGTTAAAGACAATATATTCCACAGTAATTATTAATTTCTCGGATGAAGATATACCTCTAATTTATCGCATCTATTATCTAAATCATATGATTTTGAGAATGAGTTGTCATCAACTAACTCAATTCTATATTTCCTAAATATCAAAGTTAGGAAAATTTTAGCGCTAATTAATGCGAGGTGACGTCCAGGGCATATACGAATTCCACCACCGAATGGTATATGGCTATGTTCTTCAATATTTTCGCCTAGGAACCTTTCCGGGCGGAAAGATTCAGGGTCAGGCCAATGTGCTTTTGATTGATGTATATAATAAATATTAATAAAAAATTCTTGCTGTGCATCCCATTTAAGATCAGCTACAATATCTTCTTTAATTGATGCTTTAAAAATAAATGGTATAACTGCTGTCATTCGCAAAGATTCTTTGAAACAAGCTTCAAGATAATCTAATTTTATAAGATCCTCGTAGGTTATAGGTCGGTTCATGTCTTTGCCAATGACTCTATCGATTTCATCATGAAGCTTGGATTGTGCAGCAGGATTTTTAGCAATGTTATAAACAGCGAAAGATAATCCAGACCCCAGCTTAAAGTTAATAATAATTAAAATTTAAGATTTAAATTTATTTAGTTTTGAAATTATAAAACATTTTTACAATAATTTTAAACATAATTTTAATTAAATGCTTACCGGAGCAGTGCCAACAACGATTGCTTCGATCGTTACCCGCATAATTTCTTCGTCCGTCATGGGCCTATCATATTCATTCTTTTCCGTGCCAAATTCGGTAGAGAGATGACTGTTTTGGGATATAAGAGAAGTTAAAATATCCGAACTTAATGGTTCACCCTTTGGAGTATTCTCAATTTCTTTTCTTCTTCGTTTTACAATATTAGTAAAATAATCATTTAACCAATTTATGTTATACATATATTTATAATTAAGAAAATTAAAAGGTGGAATATAATGTCTAATGAATTTTGGAAGGAAATAAAAGAATAAAATAGATTTTTGCCAGATTCGAATTCTATCCAACATTTCAAAAGCTTGTTCTTGTTCGAATGTGATATTATTTTTTGTTTTTGTAAGATAATTATAATGAATTAACATATTTGCAGTAGGTTTTCTCATGACTGTAGGAACAAAAGTATCACTTGTAAATTTATAAATCCAGTCTCCTATATCAACTTTCATAACTTTATCCCCTTTTGATAATAATATCCAGTAACCTTCTAATTCATTAAAAGTTTTCCCCATTATCTGAACCAATTGACGAAATAGTGAAGATACCGTAAGACTTTGACCTATCCTTAACCTATTAAATCTCCAAGCATTCATATGATTATTAAGACTCAAACCCAAACCAGTCATTTTTATTTCATCAATCCATGAACCTAAAGCACGATATGGAAAATTTGTTTTTAGAGATGGATCGTTAAGTTTTTTAAGTAACTTTGCATCACCCAACCAAATCACACGCTTAGAATTAAAATAAAGTTCAAATATTGTTCCATATTTTGTTTGAAGGTTAAAAAACACTTCCGGTAGATCTCCACGAAAAAGATAAGCATTACCAATTATAGGTAAAGGTAAAGGACCTGGTAAAGGATTATTACGCGTAAAATATGAGAAGTAGAATTTAGCCGTGTAAGATAGGATGATGAACAGAAAGACTGTTGACCAGTTTGTTAATGTTAAGGAAGTAATAGTAGAAGAAACTTCATGTAGTTTTAATGTTAAAGTAGTATTAGAAATTTCATTGAAAGAATTAAAAATTTCATGAATTTGAAGACGCATCTTTTTTTTTTTTCCTAATAATTGTTAAACTTTATCGGTAAAGGTGAAATTCATTCTATATATAAGTTAAATTATGATATATGTGGCCAACAAACTTTAGATAGTATAAACTTAAATACTCTAGATTCTAATATAGCCAAATTTGGATAGTTAATGATTATCAATTCATTTGTCCTGCAAAGAAATGCCATAAAAAACAATGAATGAATTTCATTATTACAATAATAATGTAATTAATGTCGGATAATGTTGAAATTGGATGTTTTAAAATATAAGCTACGTATGCTAAAATCAACCTATACCCTAAATCCTAATTTTTTTTTTTAAAAAAAAAAGAGGCCCAAAGAATTTCAAGAATTACAAATGAAATAGATCCAAATTTCAGTATTATAGGAGTATTATAAGATAATTAATACTTAGTAAATTAATAACTAGCAATCAAGTCTAGTACCTATAATTAATATTTAGATCCTAGCAATAAAGTACATTTAACAATGGCAAGTAAATTAAAAAATTTATACACTTGTCACAATATTAGTCACTATATTAAGATTGCGGGGTATAGATCAATTATACCCGGATACTATTTGTATAAGCGGAAATTTCATTTCTAACTACCAGGATATATTGATATAAGTAATCAAGTACTGGTTACGTCCTCATTTTTCTTAGGAGAATTTATGAAATTAGAGAATTTGACTCATTACGAAGTGCGTCAATTACTATTTGTTTTTCATATATAAATAACGTGAACCCATCGTTTTCACGGATATGGGGGAATTGTTTAATGGTATAAGTTTATTCCAATTTAAAAGAAATTGTAAGGATCAGAAGTTTTCTACTATGCTTTGCACTTTAAAATAAATAAAAAATTATAGAAAAGAAGTAATATGTGAAACGTTGATACTGTATAAGTTTGAGAAGTATTTTAATATAATTTTTAATATAACTTTTAATATAATTTGTAAACCATAATATTATATATATTAGGTCCCAATTCCGCTAATTCTGGGAACAAGGCATTAAATAAATTGACATTTCATATTTCGATAAACTTTTTTCCGCTTTGTTCGATAAGTCACGGCAAATACCAATTGTGTTTTATGACCTACGTGCTTGAAGGAAGTTTGTTAACTAATGCATGCAAGATAATCTAATTCCAGGGGCTAATTTTCAGTCAGTGCAACTTCAAGCAGATGCATAGACAAATAACAATACTGTATACATTTTCAAATGGGGACTTGTTTTCCAGGGACGTACGTACATACCTACAAACATTGTACATTATATTTAATTAATTAACATGTAAACTATACGTATACGGACTTTCTATTCAAGGTACCGATTTTACTTACTAATTTTGGTAAGTTTTATAACTATAAATTTTCTACGTACTTATGTACGTACATACGTACGGACATTGACATTAAAAAGGAGTACAAAAAGTCATTAGAAAATAGGAAATAAAAAGAATAAAAGAAAAAAGGAAAATAGTGAAACTGAGATCTTTGAATCTTAATTAATTGTTCAAATTAGAAAATGATTATTACAATCAATTTTTTATTGGAATTTAATATATGGAAACTCGTTTTACCTGAGACATTCATTCATCAATAATGATTAATTATGTGATTTGTAATTTTTATAATTATTACAATTATTACAATTATTACAATTATCACAATTATTATGATTATTACAATTATTACGATTATTACAATTATTACAATTATTGTATAAAATGTGAAAATTCAGTTATCACACGAACAAATAATTATCACAATATTAAGTTACAAATTTTTTATATTTAAAGGATTCAGTTCTTTCGGAAAGATTAATAATTGAACAAACAAAAAAAAAAAAATCCAATGCCGAAAAGTAAAAAAACTATTATAAAACCTAAAAATAAAGAAGAACCGACCGAATGGAAAAAGATTCCAAGAACAGAAAAATTACACAAAACCAGAGCATTGAACCAAATTGATGATATACATACACTTAATGAACTACGTAAAATTTTGGACTTGTTAAAATGTGAAGTACCTTTACGTATCCATGATTACGTTTCTAATGAAGATGTACTAAAAACCGAGAAACATTGTTACGAATGGGCAAAATCATTTGGATTAATTTCGAAAAAGACCACGAATAAAGTATTTAAAGGAAGCAAATTTGGACGACTTATTTGCTATATATTTCCAACAGCATCCTTTAAAAGGCGTTGCACTGCTATTGATTTTTTTAATTGGTTATTTTTTGTCGATGATTTAATCGACAATAATAAAGATTTAAAAAGGAAACCCAAAGAAATAAAAATAGTACTTGATAAATTCAAAGCTATCTTAGATGATAAACCGAAATCAAAAGATTTACAAAGCCCAATTGCTATTGCGCTACGTGATGTATGGGCTAGAATAAAAAAAATAACTACAAAGGCATGGCAATTAAAGTTTTGCAATACTATTTCGCTTTACTTTGATGCATGCTGTGTGAATGCCCAGAATGAACATACAAACAATATTCCTAATTCAGTGGAAGCATATATAAAGATTAGAAGAAATTCAGGGGCTGTAATGACTAGTTTTAATTTAATTGAACCCTTGCTCGGTATTCAAATTTCAAATGATAATCCAGACTTGCAAAATCTTATGGATTATTGTAATGATCATATTTGTTTTACTAATGATCTTTACTCACTCCAAAAAGAATTAAAAGAAGGCGAAGTTGATAATATTGTTGTAGTTTTACACCATTTACATCAATATTCTTTGCAAGAGGCTATTACTTATACAGTGGATTTAGCCAATGAACGAATGATACAAATTCAAAATATTTCCAATAGATTAATAAATTTTAGTTCGGAAATTGATCAAAATATTAGTAAATGTGTCAATGCATTATTAAATATTATTGTTGGTTCTTTTTATTGGCACAAAATTTCTGGTAGATATTTAATAAAAAAACAATGATCTTATCGATATTGATTTTGATTATTTTGATTATTATATTTGATTTTGGATGAACGGTTTCACATACATGTAAATGCCATTGCTATCAAAATTTCTTATCTACAATTTATCTATAATTAATAAATTTGTAAAAAAAAAAAATTTTTACTTCAGCTTGCGTTGTACAACTCACTCTCGATATAATATTTTTATTAATGGAACGGTTAACTTCACTATAATGAGAGAGAATTGATTTTTTAACACTAATAGCATAACTTTAGAATTATTATCGTTATACAGTTCATTTACGCATGTACGTACGTACACCAAAACACAATATGCTCAAGAGAAAGCATGGAAGAGTTATGATGCTAAGACTCATGGGTATGGGTAATTACTGAGTTATGAGGAAATTAATCTTCATTATTTAATCATTGAATTCATTCCCTTTCTAATTGTGTGAAAGTGAAGGGTTTTTATACATAATGGATAATGAGTAAGTACATTGAGTGCTTTGCTGTTACGCTTAGCATCTAATCGAGAGACCAGTTAATATAACTATTTAAGGCTTCGGGAAATCTATACCTATTTATATGACTATGAGTTTCGCTTATTTAATAAGCGGAAGAACTATACGTCTCTTATAGTAATAGATGACACCCATTCTACATTTTATTAATAGTGTCACCTATTCTACATTTTATTAATAGTGTCACCTTCTACATTTTATTAATAGTGTCACCTAAACTGTAAGAGATCTTATTGTTTCTTGCAGTATTAGTATAGGTGACACTATTATAAACTAATTGTTAAATAATGCATTTTTATCAATAGTGTCACCTATAATGCATGAGACCTTATTGTTCTCTATGGTTAAACCCGAAATAGCAATTATTAAATGTTATCTTCACGTGCTAATCTTTGTGCTTTAAGGGTCACAATCCTCGGTCGGTCATGCATAGCGATGTTACCCAAACTATTTGGGACGTCCAAAATTATGTGATGAATAGCATCACATGATTTCAGCAATAACAATAAGGAGGCAAATACCTCACGCGATATTATTCATCACATATCATGTACTTATCTGGTATCTAAATTCGAGAATATACTTTTAGATGTATGTAAGCCGCATTTTATTGGCTGTATCATTTTATTGGCTGTATTGCTGTAACATATCAATACGTATAACTGTATGTCGAAACTATATTACATGATGTAACGTAACTTTTCGTATGCTGTACGTAACTTTATAATGCTACATAAGATTTTATCGGGCATTTACCATTATTGTACACTTTAAATGAATTATATTACTATGTAAATATTTAAGTATTTCATTTGCAATGTAGTTCGGTGTGTATTAATTAGTGTCAGAAAGAAGAAATTTTACGATGGGGATCTTTATTAGGATATGAATATTCTAAATTGACTTGGTTGCATGAAGGTTTTGTCTTGCCTACATGAATATTAAACTGTCTAGTTTTGTGAGTGATCCTCGATTAATACTAATCTTATCCATTATAACTTCGCTAACAAAGGAATTTTAACAAACCGATAATAATTCATTTTTATAATAATATTTTTACGAATTTTATGACGTGTCATTACATATAATTTATAGCTTCAAAATTATTAATAAATAACGACACAAATAGGTTCATACGATTTTAGTTGAAGCTGTAACCGTAATTAGTGTTCCGCCGTGTGCCGAATTGGAACCGCAGGGGATGTTTAACATCCTACTGTCAAGCAATTGGGTTATAAATTATTATCCAATTGCTTGACGACGGAATGTTTAAAACCCCTGCGGTTCCATTTCGGGTACCCGTTTGCGAAGCACTAACCGTAATTGAATAAAATTCATTGGGTTTATATTGCTTCAAAAGTAACTTATATCATTTACAAACTTTAGTTATTTCATAATCGGTGAAAATTTATTATACAAATAAATTTATATACCGTATTTTGAAATTACTCCCCCTGAACGCTATTCCTCGAAAATGCAGTAAGCATAAATGTTTGTTACATAAAAAATTTATTTATTTTTACATTCACTACATAAAATGCAACCGAATCGTCTTGTACACTATAGATTATTTCTTTGACAAGAACAAGCTTTAGACAACAATTAGATTGACTTTTTTAAGTTATTTTCATCGAAACAGTTTTTTATCGGTTGGTTTCATTTTTTTCGTTTGAGGATTGTCCGAATAGTAGGTTTTCTAGTATCCCGAATGGGCAAGCAACTTGTTACAAGTTACAATCTTGCAGGGTAAAGATCGACCGGTCATTTTTTGCCTATTATAGCGCCTCTTATCTACGTATCAAACGTTATACGTACGTATTAAATTTTTTTTTTAATGTAAACTTCCAAGAAGTTTCATAACGTCATCAATTATTGAAATTATTGAATCAATCAGTGAATTATTACAGAAGATATATTATTTTTGTATATTTATATATTAATTAATATTATAATAAGTAATAAATCATTGAACCATTGTAATAAGATTATAATGCTATGAATCCAAATGAAAAAAAAAGATTTTAAACCAAAAACTATAATGATATCCTACTACTAAATAGTTGGATTACGAAACAAGCAAGTGCGTAACAATAATAGAATCGATTGAGAATCGTACATCACTAATGATTATTAAATTGTTAAACTTTTCTGGGTTTAAGCTTAATCAATAATCTATCACAAGTTTTAAGAACATAACCTTGATGTATTGCATTCTCATTTTTATCTACAAGTTCAACATCATATTTTCTAAATAATTGAACTAAAAATGCTTTAATTTTAATCATTGCTAATTGTTTACCAATGCAACCTCTTAACCCATTGCCAAAAGTATATAATTTCTGGGACATAGATAATGGATAATCTTCTTTAGATAAGAATCTTTCTGGGATAAATTCATTAGGTTTTTCCCAATAATCTTTATGTAAATGGATAGCATCTGTACAAGCTACTACTATAGAACCTTTGGAAATTATATATCCATCAATCTCATCATGATTGGATGCTTCACGTGGATTAATCGGAGGATTTGTTCCTAAACGGCTAGTTTCTTTCAAAATTGCATCACAATACGGAAGATTATTCAAAAGTTTTTCATAGGTAAGCATATCACTTAATGATGATAACTCTGGAAATTCTGAATCAATTTCATTAATGAGTTTTTGCTTCACCAAAGGATGTTTGCAAGTATTGTAAATTAAAAAGCATGTTGTGCTTAACACCTAAATTAAATAAAATTAAAAAAAAATCAAATAAAATTAATAAGATCGATAAAATTATATAAAATTAAATAAACTCAATAAAGTTAAATAAAATTAATTAATAAAATATTAAAAATACCGTTTCAACTCCAGCAACAAAAAATTCTAGTAATACACCTGCAATCTCAATTTCTTCCATTGGTTTTATTTTTTCACCAACTCTGTAATTTTTTTCCAACTCTTGATCGATATTAACAGTTAATAAAGTGGTTAAAATATCATGCGTACGAATTTTATCTAGTGGTACATTTTCAATTTCTTTCATACGCTTTTGAATTATTTTTGAAAAAGCGTTACTTAACCATTTATAATTCGTTTGAAATTTTGATTGAAAATATGAAAACGGAGGTATATAATGACGAATAAATTTTGATGGACAAAACATCAGAAATATTACTATTTTAAATTTTAATTTGTTAGTTAATAAAATAATTATTAATTAATTAATTTATTAAACTATTAATTAAAAGACTTACTGTTTGCTACCCATATGGATAGGCTTTTCAGGAATTTTTCAGATTCGACAATTTCTTGTGAATTTGGATTTTTACATTTACTAAGCAAATTAAAATAACTTGCCATGTTAAATGCATGTTCACTAAAATTCATATTTAAAGCGAGATCAGTCATAAATCTCCTTGTCCATTGACTAAGATCAACCGTAAATTCTTCAGTTTTATCCAATTGATTATTTTTTTCATTATTTAAAATAATCCAATAACTTTCAATTTCTGTAAAAAGTTTTTTAACAATTTTTACACATTCTTTTAAAACTCTAATATTTGTAAGTGTATAACTTAAAATTCTACGATTATATTTCCAACTTTTTAAATCTCTATTAAATGCAACTCCAACTTTATCAATTCCCAATTCTTTAAATCCTTGAGTAGATAATGATCGACGAAAATAATTGGTTTTTGTAGAATTTGTAAAAACTTTATCAACTAATAATGGACTACATAACATAATTTGACGTTCTGAAAACATATAAACCTCAAAAATGTCGCCATATTTTGTTTGAAATTTTTTAACTGAAGTTATTAAACTAAATCCTATTTGAAAAATATTTCCTACAATTGGTAATGGTAAAGGGCCGGGTAAAGGATTCGGTCGAGTGAAATAAATAAAGTAGTAATGAAATACATAGAAAATGATTAAAAAGATTAATAACTCTGAAAAGTTACTAATTGTAAATAACTTGTGAATATTAATCATGTTTTACGTATTTGTCAATCTTTAATCTTAAGATTTTTAAAATACGTAGCGATAGTTCTTAATGAATATCGACATATATATTGTGTAATATCGATATATATATATATGAATATCGATATATGTACAGTACGTATAAATTGTGTACGTATCGCTTGTTTTATCATGTGGTATTTACGAATAAATCACCTAGTCAACTAATCACATCATATCATTGATAATCGTTATTTATTCCTGTTTGCAATTTTTGTTCATAGTACAATCACTTCTGTGCGATTATAAATAATTTTCATTCAGTCAATCAAATGTTTACAAGAAAAAAAAACAACTAGATAGTTTGTTTCAAAGCTTACTAATTTAAACAAATACTGTTTTTGTAGATATTAAAAAAAAAAGCATTAGCCCATCACCAAACTTTATCGTAAATAAGCATAGAACATTGCTAATTAGACTTAAAAAATTCATTCCCGATTATACTATTAAAAAAATAAAATCTTTTGTTGTAAGATAGATATTCAGTCCAGTATTGCGGTCCCCAACATAAAAAATTAAGGGTGTTTTTATAGTGATCGAAAAGGTGATCAAAATGTTGTTCAAAATGGTGCGCAATTTTAGCTATTCTCTTAATATTTTAGATAATACGAATAACGATATTATTGAGTATTGTTATTGCTATGACTTAATAATAATTATAGGAATCATTTATTAAGTCAATATTGTTTAATTAACTTTGTAAGATTTCTTGTTAAAAATCCTAAAAATTTTTAATGAAGAGTTGTCAGGTTTTTCTGAAATATGATAATGCGTGATGCTTTAAATTACTTAATGGGCAAGCATAGATCTTTCAAATAGTTAATTTTCTGATAATAAAGAGGACTTAATAACGATTATAATTACAGTATAAATTTAATATAGGGACACCTCCAGCAAGTTTCCAGAAACACATTGCGGAGTTCATATGATTTTACAATGCAATATAGTCCGAACACGTGGCTGGTGTAATTCCAGAATGTGCTTCTGGAAACTTTGCCGGAAGTATCCCTATAATAGATTTAAACCATAGTTACTGTTGAATCCTCAGATAAAGTTTCCTTTTACTTTTACTTTTTACTTTTAAATATCTTATCATAATATACAATTCACTGATAAACTTTAAAAATATCTTTGGAATATCATAATAAAATTTCAACCTTTGTATTTTATGCTTTAATTAATCTATTTCATATTTTAAAAGAAGGATTTCTTAATTGTTTTTAAAAAAACAATACTACACTATTAGTTTAAAATAAATAAAATAATAGTTATAAACAGATTAAATAAGTTAACGGGTAGTTCGCAGTTGAAGGGTATAATCATTATTAAGTATCATAGTCGGAATTTATTATAACTTTTTTACAGTAGTGTAATGCCGATTCATTACAATGAAACTATTTTGTTTTACTAAGTAAACATCTTTGAATCTTTAATTAAAGTTGTAGAACGTGTTATTACGATTCTAATGCCAATAGAATCATTAAATCAGATGTATAAATCACTTTTTAATATATTGTTTTTCTTTATTCTCAGAAATGCTTGGTATTGCATCACAATATGAAAGCTATAGTAAAATGCCTCTGTAATTTATACTCTTTAATTTTCAAACTGCTCTTAATTTAAATTATAAAAACAATATCAAATCATATAAAATAGCCTTTTTATATTTAACTACTATATAGTGTTATATTGCAAAAACTATCTTTAAAAATTCCTATTTATAGGGCAGCTGTTGAGTTTTTGTGCAATAATAAACATACAGACTTCTTAAAAAAAGTATATAATTTGGTCAAATAAATATTTAATTAATACTTTATTATTGTAAATTTTCTTTTCTTGCATCAATGCCTTACTTATATATTTATTTTGCCTTTTGTTATTAATGTTTATTTTACTATCTAGGATCTTTTATAGTATAGATGAGCAAATTATGATTATTAATAATAATAATATAAAACCTATCAATTTTAAGCTAATTTAAACTATAAACATAATTCTAATCCTAACTCTAACTTTAACTTTAACTCTAACTCTAACTTTACTTTAATTAAACTTAAATTAGTTAAAATAATTGGTTATTTATATTATAATTTTATAATAATTATATTTTTTTATCTATATTATTACAAAATTAAGCAATTATTATTAAATCAATTCTGTAATTATTTTTATAAATTATTTATACTAAATTTTGCAACAACATTTAACTATTTCTCAAAATTCTACTAAGTAAACTTATTTATACTTTTAAGTAAAATTGATTAACATATTTTTTCTCTTAAACAATTAAGTTTTAGGTTTTAAAAATATCTTATTATCAAAAAAAGTTTTAAAAACTAATATTTTAGTTTTTGTTAATTTTTTATATATTTTATTAAGTAAATACATCTTACTACCAATTAAAAAAATATTAAGCACCTTATGTTAGTCATTTTAATATATATTTTATTATAAATAAACTAAAACTATTAAATACAAATAAAAAGATAAAAACTAAAATCTGTTTTTATAATTTTTTTTATTGATATTTTAGAAAAATCTGGTAAATTGTTTAGATATTTCACTTTTTTAACAGTTATTAAAATTTTTTAAACTCATCATTCTCAAATTATTATTACTTTTTTATGACATATTTACAACTTTGGTTATTTTTCTGATAATTTATATAGTTACATATTAACTATCTCTATTAAAAATGATTATAACAAAACTTATGTCTATCTTTTATCAGAACCCAAACCTTTATTTAATCACTTTATCTTACCAGTTCAAGTCATTTGGTACTATCCAAATATTCAACTAAAATCAAATACATTAACATCAATCTTTTCTATACCAATACTCTCAGATTACTAGTTCTTCTCTACCTCTCAATTATCCTAAAGATTAGAATCTTCAGACTATTACAGTTTACTTTCATTTTCTTCCAATAATTCAATATAAACAAATTCTAAATTACTTAATTTATTAATTTATATATATAATATATAAGACTATAATAAAGATTTAAAATAACAGATCTGAAAAAACTTTTATTTCTTCAACAATCTCAAAATTATTAGTATTACAAAACTAAAATCATTATAAATAATCCTATTGTTATCCTATATCTATTTCTTTTAAGATAGTAGATAACTAGAATGATCTTAGACAATGAACACTTTTGTAACCTTACTTATTACTGTGTTATGACTAAGTCAGAAGGTGTTTTATTTTAGAAAATTTAACAAAGAAGATTTAAGGTAATTTGCAATTATAAAAAAGACTACAATTAAAAATATATGAGGATACTAATAACTGTTTAATTTGGGTAATATAAAATAGTAGTTCATTAGTAAAAGAATATAAAGACTCAATGTTAAACTTAGGGTCCACATCTGGTATTTTTATACTTTTTGGCTACATAGTGGATATAATAGCCTATATCTTTTATATATACAAGATATTTTACAACTATTATTAATAAAATAAATAAGATATTTTTAAGATATAAAATAAATAAAATAAATAAACTAAATAATATATATAAACTAAATATAATATAAAATATAGATGCTTCAAAATGCATAAATGTTATATATGTTATATGTATGATATTTCGCACAGTCATTCTTCAACCAATCAAATTACAACTTTCTTATTTATTTGGTTATTGAACTTGATCTTGTGATTCTGTAATTGGAAATAAATGATCTATACCTCTTTACAACTATCTCAGTGAGCTGATTTAAATGGTAGTAGTTTCATTGAATTCTGTTTAGTGGTTTAAGAGTTATGATCATTTTTGTAAGTTAATATTATAATCAAATTATAAAAATCTAAATATTTTACTTATCTCTGATTCTGTACTAATAATCTAAAAACTAGCAGTTATTATGATTCATAAGTCTATTAAATGCCACATTCACAAAATTCTACTTTTTATAGGATATATCATTATAATAGATCTTTTTTTAAATATGATTTCAAGTTTAGAATTATTTCAATTTACTTATCATATGATAATTCTTAACTCAGACTATTAATACAAAATATTATTATACAATAGATCTAATAAGCTATTACTCTAAACATATAACCTATTATCTTGGATGACTTTACTGCATCTGATTATCTTACCCAATCTTTCTTAATTAAATATAAACTACTTTACTTTCTTTAATATAATAATCTATATAACTTAGCTAGTCATATACAATTCTCTATACCTACTTAGCAAAGCAGTAGATATAGTAGTAGTATTAACTATATCTAGACTAACCAATTTTTTTTCATTACTTTAATTTTTTTATTATTGAAGATCCTGATACTAGTACTCAAAATAATCATAAAATTTTTATTTCTAATTGGCTTTTCCTTATATATATTTAGCCAAATTCTACTATCTAACCAAAATTTGATGAAAAACATTTTTATATAAAAACATGAATGATTAACAATAATAATTTTTTTCAGATCAAGTAACTTTAAACTTAACTACTAACCAAATACTACTCATTATGCAAATCTCAGAATCCTTAGAATCTATATGGCATAAAATTCAAAATAGTATTATTACCACAATTCTCTATTATATTTCTAACAAAAATTTATAATCAGAAATTTTTAACATATTTTCTCTACAAAGTTTCAAAATTACATCATTATCTCAAAAAACTTAACAATATTATTCGACAAACCAAATATGTATTTCAATACTCAACACCTATTCCATTTTATCATAACCAACTTATTACCCATATTAATATATCTTGTAATCTCAACATACTACTACTATCATCAGAATATAACCTAGTAACAAATTGGTTAGGTTTAGCCAAAAATGAATAAAAAACTTTATATTATACTTGTAATATAAAAAATATTAAAGAAATTAAACACCAAATTGATAATAATATTACTAAAAGATGTAATAAACTATAATCAAATTATATCTCTATGATCAATAGTATTCTCAACTGACACAAAGA